CTCTACCCCTCTCTGCGTACGCATGTCATAACATGGCAAAAATTAATTATCTATTCAACAAGAAATAATTATTTATTCACTCTACCTGGCCTGTATTAGCGATAATAAGCTCTTTACTGCTAGGCTCAAGAAATCTCAAAATATCAAAGATAATATCCGTGGTGTCGACCATTACTTGAGGTAAAAATTCATTCTCTAATTTATCTAGTTTTTTCATAACTTCCTCATGAATTTTACGATACTTAGCCGTATCTATAATTCGTATCTGTTTTGGAAAATTATATGACGCAATGTACAATAGTATGCCATCTCTTTCGAGTGATAAATACGTAATTAATAAAAAAAAAAAAAGAATAAAAAATCAGTATTCATACATATTTGCATACTTACCTGAGAATCAAAACTTGCACTGACCGGCTTGTGATCAGATATCTTTAGTTCCGGATAACTTTTATAACCGACTGATTTAATCATATCTCCCTTCCATAATATTCGATCACACCAAGCTGGAGCTCTGCATTTCTCGCTATATATTGTCGATGTAAGCATTAAAAAAGGAACAGATTAACAGATTAGATTTTTCACATAATAAATAATAGGTTGCATTTTGGAAATTTAATACAATTTTTAGGATACCTTGAATCCCAGTTGTCGGTACCTGGATCATATTTATATGTGGGTTTGAAGTCAATTTCGGCCTCCTGAAATCCTTGAAACACACGTCCTGCCTTGCGTTGATGTCCAAGTTGATCCAATGCTAAGACCGGGCCGTAGTTACCCTCTAAAATGTACTGCTTAGCTGTTGCTGCATCCATATCCGTTATCCGATAATTTAAATCTCCCAGCCAATAAATCTGACTATACATAGAAATGTATGTATATGTATATATGTTATACATACGTATCATGCTTATACACACACACATAGAGAGTATTTTAGAAATAAATGGCCAAACTTTTTATATATAGCATTTTCTACTCACTGTAAGGGTAAAAGTCATGTAAACATGAGTCTAGAAACGTTCCCTTTTTAGATTACAAACACTTTTTATTTGTGATAGAACTTGACAAGAATATTTTATTAAAGAAATTGTTAGAAATGCACATAATTGGCTTTTCTGTCAATCTACCAATTGGTGTAATTCCCATACAGAACAAAATGTTTTCAAAAAGTATTTCTGAATATTTCTATAAAAATATTGTAAGAAACATTTTAAAATAGTTTTAGGAATATTTTAAAATGGTTTAAAATTCTTTGTGCTAACATTTTTAAGAAAATTTTTAGAATTTTAAGGTGATGCTGGAGTCGTCTGTATAACCGACAAAATTACCATTTTATATGTTATCGAAACCTATATCTGTCATCGCTGTAACTCGAGACGCCATATTAGGATAAAAGTAGGTAATGAAATCTGTAATTCCGTAATTTTTTCTCGTTTTCTATATAAAATCAGAGTTTCTCTGAATCATTGATGTATATGTGTCGTAGGCAAATGGTTATTTTAAGAAAATAGCTTCTGACTAGGCAAATGCTATCTGCCTGGTCAAATAGTTCTCACCCATTTATTTTTGCTATTTTCCTAGTCAAGGTAAATCTGAAGAATAGTGGCCTCCTCACCGATTTCGTTGAACTTAGGCTTAATCGACACGTTTTTGCACAAAACGACCGAATGTGGCAGAAAAAAGTGTCGCTCTGCCCCGCGAAGCGAGATATTAAACGTAAAAGTTGACAAGAATCAGGTTATGATTCCTGTCATACCGACGAACTGTACAGCGACTACGAACATGCCCTGTTAGTCCAGTAGCAGGGGAAAAAATAAGTTTTGCCCTCCAAAAGGTCGGGTAGTTCCGATTTTTGGATGTTTTATATTTTGGGGTCCTAATAAGAATCCAAGTTTTCGACCTTGGCGCACTTCTGCTCGCGCCGCCATCTTGAAAAAATGGAGCACAAAACCGGTTTTTCGGAATATCTCCTTACCAGTAG